GGGCTACTGGAAAGGCCAGTAGCAACAAGAGGACGGCGATGAGCCAAAGTGAGCGAGCTAGGGCTTCGAAGCCAGAGTCTGAGGCCGCTGGACCTTCCCCTTCTGCACCATTTGTAGAGCCTGATGTCCCCGAAACTTCTGTGTTTGTGACATTGACCTCTGCATATGAGCGCTCAATAGCTTAGCACCTCGATGCATTGGAAGTGACAGTGCAAGGGATCTCCACCATGACGACTAGACTCTTCCGTCATAAGTTCCCCAAAGAGCTCATTCCAGGTGGACCCCCTTCATCAACTGCCAGACCCTCCGCCTTTGCCCTCTCAACATCCACTGTGGTTGAGGTGAGGGGTACTAATGAGGACACAAAGGAGGAGGAGGGTGAGAGTGACTTCGATAATGATGAGGATGTGGATGAGGGAGGTGGAGATGGAGATGAAGATTAGGGTTCATTTTTTCTTTTCTTTGTTGCCCTTTTTGTTTTGGATTTTATATAGGTAGGAAGGAGTCATTGGCCTAGTAGAAGAGTCTCTAGGAATTTTGGGTCATTTTGTCTCTTTTTTGTGTCGACTCCATGTACTTCAACTTTAAAATACATTAATGAAATACCAGAGTTTTTGTTCAATCTTGTCCAAGCTTATTTCGATAATTGCATTATGATTTTTGTATTTTGAGTGTTTGATGGATAACTTGTGGAATTGGATCATTGCAATTTCATACTTATTTATTTTGGTTTGAAAATAAACTTTGCTAGGGACTAGCAAAGCTCAAGTTGGGGGGTGTGATTTGCACAAAAAATTGCATATTTTATGTGCATTTACATTCCTATTACAATTAATTTTGTGGTTAAAATGAGTAGAACAACATCATTCAAACATTTAATGGAGTTTTGGTATGTTTATAGGTAAAGGGGCTAAAATGGTGCTTGTTAGGCCTTAACATTCTGGTTGAGATGATTGGAGATGGGTTAGAGGCTTGTTGATTGCTTGAAGGGTGGAGGAACCAAGTTTTTGGCAAAACAAGGAAAAACCTACCAGTAGGTTTTAGCTACTGGACCTGCACCTACCGCCAAATAGACCGATAGGTTTTGCTCACTGGAGTGAAACCTACCAGTAGGTTTCCATCGACCTACCGGTAGGTTTTGTTGACACAGCTCAGATTCTGCAACTTAAGCTTTGCAACCTTTGGGGTCCCACCAAACATTCTCCCACTTGTCCCTGATACTCCCTACACACTAGACATCCTTTCCTCAACCTACATTTGACTTTAGGAGCTTTGGGCATTAATAAGGAGAGAGGAGAGAAGAGAGAAAAGATAATGGGTGTGCAAACAATGCCCGCACTTGCCTGCACCAGCCCATCCCTTTCAGCCCCTATTGATTGGGATCACATCACACAGCTAGGGGACACTCCATGGACATTTTTGGAAGCTAAAGACTCCATTATTCAGCATAAGGCAAGAGAGATTGTAATATATAGGGAGAGAGAGAGTCCAAGGTAGAAGATGAATAGTGCTAGAGAGAGAAGTTGATATTTTTGTATTGTCTTCCATACATTGTCTTTGAATCTCTTGTGAGAACCTTTTAAGCTTCATTTAATGTCTTTAATGCTATTCACTGCAAGTTCTTTTCTACTTTAATCTTTCAATTTAGCTTTCATCATTAATGCTCTCAAGTTCTTCATTTTCAATGCTTTGAGATGGATATTAAATGCACTTCCTATAGTCTACGTTTTCTTGCATTAACTTAGGTCCAATCTTCATTTCTTTATAATGTCTTCTCATTACATTGTTGCCTTCACTTTAAGTATGAGTAGCTAAGCTTTTTAGTTTGCTAATCCAAGGGAGACCTCCTATTGGGTATGTCATTTCAACTCATTTTCTTTCCTCCTCTCAGAGTACGATGGTTCTGTTTGGCTGGGTTGAGTGTGGATGGGATTGTGAGTCTTTGATATCCCATAGACTTGTCACGCGTTATGCTTGGATACTCACTTCCATCTCATCCCTCGCTTCCTAGGAATCAATCATACATCTAGGCTATATTGGAGGAAGGTTTCGAGTTTACTTGGCATTCCCATTGCAGTGAACCCTTCGGATTAGCCAATCCTTGTTTCCCATTTCATTTTCATCACAACACAATCACAAACCAAACTTCAAATAGCAAAAGATTTTTGCACATTACCCTTTCTATCAAAATCACCTTCAACACAATTCACCTCCTTCCCTGAGGAGACGACCTTGGAATACTTTTCCAAGTAAAACACGACACTCAAAAGACTTCTTGCGCTTGGGGAGCACTTTTGTACACACAACATTTCACACATTTTACACACTTCCTTTATCCATTATTCCATTGCCCTTTCTTTTGACATCATTCCAAGGGAGAATGACACTCCCCTCCATAAATACACTATACACATTGAGGGATGATGTCCGGAGACTAGGAAATAGAATGGAATGTCGATTCAAGAGCACCTTCATTTCTATATAACATAGTGGATGTAGGAATCCACAATGGATCATGTCCCTCAAGTTGCACATTGCTTTCTGCCATATCTTTTCAAATGAAGTTTTACCATAACATATTCCTCAAATTTAAAGCTAGTATGGAATTGATTCGGTTGTGCAATCATGAATAGTCATTGGTTCAGTTGGTACATAGACATAGCAATCTATACTTTTTCTTTGATACGTAGATGGTTAGATATTTTTCGAAAGAAGTCTTAGCAAGACCCATCTTTTATTCTATGAATGCAACATTTACATATAAAATAGATTAAAATAACATAAATAAGATGAATAAATCATTTTTTTTAATCTGTATCTTCAGCTGACTCAATACGATAGATTAACCCAGTTCCCACTTCTTTGAGTCACAATGATTCAGTTTATAAAAAATCATTAAAACTATTTCTAATTGAATTGAAAATTTTGAAAACATTATTTGAATTTCAATAAAGTTCAACTACATTTGATCATCATAAGAAAGAGAAATTTCTATTTCTTTTCAAATAGAACTATCAATAATTTAAAGAAAATAAAGAGATGGAACAAGAAATCCCAGTTATTTATATTTTGTGAGATGGATATAAAAGTTAATGTAAGGAAAGATTTAGGTGGTTATATTTTCAATTCTAATTTTATGAACCAGATGAATGAATAGAGGATTTTCGTATCTATCAAGATAGGCTGAACAATCGTCACTATTATGGATATTCTATGTTAAAGATTAATTCAATATATTACAATTTTACATTTAATAGCTCACAGTTACTTTTCACAAAAATAGAACCATAAGAATAATACATATAAGCTATGCATTTCTTCATTTTATATGTATTTTTGTATTTGTTTTAGCTTGGGGATCTATAATCTTTCTAAAATCTTGAAATAAATTAAAGTGAACAAAATTTATGAATCCCACCCCCCCCCCCCAATTTTCATTCGTTACATTAATTTACAATTATTCATTAAAGCCAAAGGCGAAAGACCTAAAAATGAGGTTCAAGAAAAATACATCAGTTGCATATCTAACTTGATTATTTGTTAATGGGATTTGAATAAACACAATAGATATTTAAATTAAGACTTTTCATTGCTAATTAATTCCTATTTACCCTCCCCCCCCCCCCCCCCATTTTTGTGGGAATGATGAGTTATAAATCAAAAAAGGATTCTTTTTTACAAAATACAAACATACTATCTTATCTATCGGTTGTTTCACACTTTGATTCAAAATCAGAAACATGAATCATATTCTATCAAATATTAGACCTTTAAACAGAATTTTGTTCAAAAATGAAATCTTGGTTCTAATAGAATGGATATGGTCTGCGACGGAAGGATTCGAACATCCAAATAGCGGGACTAAAACTCGTTGCCTTACCACTTGGCCACCCCAATATCTATTGAATACTAATAAAGAATAATATTGTTCTTGGTTGTTCATCAATTTCAGTCAAAATATCTATAAAATAGATTAGATTCTTGTTAGAATTTTTATATTGTATGAAAGTATAATTTCTTCTATTCTCCATTGAGAATTGGAGGAGTTTTGATTGGATGGATTCAGAGAAAAAGAAGGGTTGGTTTGTCAACCTTACTTTCTTCATTTTTCCTTACATCAATAACTCAATCAAAATGCAATTATTTCCAAGAACAAAATGTCTATTCTGCTTAATATCTTTAGTTTAATCTAATTTGTCTTAATTGTACTCTTTATTTGAGTGGTCATTTCTTGGCCAAATTGTTCAAGGCCTATGCATTTTTGAATCTAATCGTAGATATTATGCCAGTCATACATGTACTCTTTTTTTTTCTCTTAGCCTTTGTTTTGCAAGCTGTTGTAAGTTTTCGATGAGATCCTTAATATTATCTAAGAAAAGTCATGATTTATTCAAGAAAAAAAATTCTAACAATTAATAAGATCAAATATGTCTAATAGTATTGACCCTCGATTCAAAATTCAAATTTGTAGATAGCTATGATAAATCCGACTCACCTATTTTCCCATTCGGACCCCTTTCCAGTGAAAGACCCTATCCTATTACTGTCCCCCACAATATCTAAATTGTGGGTATGAAATAATTTTTTGCTTGGTAATGTAATGAAAGGCTCTTCTAGCAAATGAAATGAATTTGAATTTCTAAAAATTATTTTCTATTCCTAGAAAGCACTTCATTTCTTGGCGTCAAAACATGATATGCAATATAAAAATAAAGCATCTATTCTTTTCTTCTTTTTCAAACAATGATCTTGAAGCTTGTGTAATGCTTACTCTCAAACTCTTCATTTACACAGTAGTGATATTCTTTGTTTCTCTCTTCATCTTTGAATTCCTATCTAATTATCCATGACATAATCCTAGACGTGAAGAATAAAATAAGAAATAAGTTTTCCTTGCTTGGAATTTAAATTTTATTAGGATTTTTTCTATTCCACACATTTAACTAAGAAAAAAAATTTAAAAACGTGAAACATAAATCAAATCTCAAGTGATCAATGAAAACAGAAAAAAGGGATTTGAACCCTTGGTACGAAAAACTCATACAACATATTAACAATTCGTCGCTTTAGTCAACTCAGCCATCTCTACCAATTAAAAAAACTAATTACTATGTTATATTACATATAATCTAAGGATTAAAAATATCTTTCTTTCTCTATCTTTATTATATAATGATGTACAATATTTTTCAACAATTGCATTTAGATAAAGAAAGGACACAAAAGCTTCAAAAGATACAATCGAAAGAAAACTAAAGAAGACCTATTCACTTTGATTTTTTTTGAAAGGGCCTTTAAAAGGTACAATTTTTTTTTTGAAAAGGCATGGTTTGGTTAGTACCTAGCCGAGCCTTCTTTTTTCTTTACTTTTTTCAACGAGTCCTAAATAAAATGATTGATCCAATTTGAAAACAAAAATGGTTTAACAACAAAAAAATGACTTTTTTCAATTTAAGATTTTTTTATATAAAATCAAAGTGTTTCTTATCATTCTTTCTTCTTTTTTGATTGACTTTACTACCTTACTACCTTAGGGGGATAAAAAAATAAAACTATGAATTCTTAGACATAATGCATTTTTATGTTATAATTTCGATGTTTTGTTTTGGCGAACCCTATCTATCAAAACAACTTTAGCAAAAGAAAAGACAAAACTTAGTTATTTAAAAACAGCACCCTTTTAAGAATCTGATTTTTTCATGATTCTTTTCAGATCCTATCTTGATTATGTCCAATTCACCTATTCGACAAAATTGACAAAAGGTCCATTTGTATACAATAATCACGTTGTAGCAGATATAGTTTAGTGGTAAAAGTGTGATTCATTCTATTAACCCCCTTAATAGTAAAAGGGTCTTTTGGTTTGATTCATATTCCGATCAACAACTTTATTTCTTAAAAGGGGTTAATGACATATTCAATGAACAATATACATAATCATGATTTGTATCCAATTTTACTTAGAAATTGAAAATTTGGGTTATGAAATTGCAAAACATAAACTTTAAATTGGGTCATCCAATTGAATGAGCACGCGTAAAGGATCCATGAATGAACATGTAAAGTAGATTTTTAATCGTAACTAAATCTTCCATTTTTGTTTTGTCGAAAAAAAAATCAAATTGAAGAAAAATAGAATAGCTATTAAACAATATTTTCAGTTTACTAGAGACGTTGACATATTTGGTTTTGTTTTAACTCTATGGAAACATAATTATTTTACTCAAGATTCTTTCAAATAGAAATAAAGGACGAGGTAACAAGAAATATTGTTATAATTACCTCTCTTTAGAGAGATCATCTAGACAGCGAGTTGTTTTGAATATATCCAGACAAAAAGCCGACATACATTTTTTGGGTAGCATTTGTTTTTTGAATTTTGTTCACATCTTGGATTTATAAATTTATCCATACTCCGTAATGGAGCCAAATGAAACCAAAGTTTCATGTTCGGTTTTGAATTAGAGATGTTAAAAATGATGAATCGACATTGACTATAACCCCTAGCCTTCCAAGCTAACGATGCAGGGTCGACTCCCTCTACCCACTCTACATCCTCAGGATTATATATACTTTATTTATATAAAATGATAGTATTCTTATTTACTATTCTATTCTATAATTTATAGTATAATTCAATTAGAATTATCTATTCATGTGTGAATTAATTCTATACATTCATCATTGAAAATCCAATTCCCAAAGTTCTCTCATATAAATCTGATTTTTTTTTCAAATAATGGGGAGTGTATTAAAGTAAAAATACGAAAAAAAAAAATCAGAATGAAAAGCATCCATTATCTAATGGATAAGACAGAGGTCTTCTAAAACTTTGGTTTAGGTGCAATTCCTAGTTGTTGCAATATATATATATATATATATATATATATATATATATATATATATATATATATATATATATATGATATTGATCTCAACTATCAATAAAGACAAATTTTGAACGATTTGAAGTGAAAACGCTTGTTTCCCCATTTATTGTTAAACATTGATAAAAGTGATCTATTTCTTTATGCTTGTTCCTGAAGCATTAAAAGACGTTATAGTTGTTCCTGAATAGCTTCTTTTAAAAGGGCCTCTACTTCCTCGGTGAATGTCTTGGTGGAAGATATGATTTCTTGGAACTGAGGTATATTACTTTTTAAGTAAGTATGTAACTCAACAAGAAAATTTCCTTACTTGTCCAATTTCGAATAAATCAAGATAAACATTTGTTCTGGTATAAATAGGCATTGTCTATTCTTCCAATGTAAAAGGGGATGATTTAGATTGTTTGAGCAATTCACGTAATTGTTGACCTCTTGCCAAATTGATTCTGAGTAGGTTTATCAAGATTAGAAGAAAATTGCACAATGGCTTCTAATTCTGAGAATTGTGCTAGTTCTAATTTTAATTTTTCAGCTACTTGTTTGATGGCTTTAATTTGAGTTGCATACCCCACACTAGAAACCAAGATACAGTCACACCCCAAATTTCATAAAAGTGTGATTAAAATAAATACTTTGTTTATTCCAAAAACACATGCCTGTTTGTTGTAAAAACATCTAGGAAAGTATCTCTTTCTTTGAAATAAATCATTTTCTAGAAAATTCAATAAAGTTTCCTTTGAAAATCGGGAATCTAGATAGTTGGTGAGAGCTACCTATGAGAGCATTAAACATAATAATTATACCTAACTAGTCACTCACATCATATCAACCATATACATCCCTTCTGATGACATACACAAATAAATCATTCATGTTCAAAATCGGGGTAGCAAATGGAGGTCCACGAAGTCCTCCCAAACCCGGGTTACAATCTAACTATCCAAAATTCTTCATCATGAACATAATATCTAAAACCTGGGAAATTTTAAATTTTTGTGAAAAAAGGGCAAAATGGTAATTAGCCGCTACAGTATGAGTTAAAAACCTGAATTTTTCTCAAACTTGGATGACGAAACTGATCTCATCGTTGTATTCGTCTCATGAAATCTAGTTACCTAGTAAATTTTTATTTAATTCTGAGACAGTCAGATTTTTCATATTTTACGAGATGATCGGATGTCGCGTGACCAAAATAAACTAGACCAGGAATAAATTGTGAAACATGAAAAATAATTTAAATTTATTTCAAATAAAATATATTTAACTTAAAATGAAATGAGATTTAATTGCTTTGGAACAAAATTAGATCAAGAAAAGACGGGACGTGTGGCGCGTTGTGAGCCATGTATTAAAGGAGTATAAATAGGGGAGAAAATCCAATTTTCTCCTCATTACCTAGAAGATTTATGGATAGAGAGAGAGATAAGAAGAGAGAAAAATTCAAGGGTTTTTCCATCTTCATCTTGCGATCAAAATTGATTTGTTCGTCGGAATTCTTCGGACCAAGAACAAAAGTTGATCTACGTGACAAGAGCTATGTCTACATACCAAAAAAAGCAAATTTTGAAAAAGTCTAAAGAATGAGTTTTTTGGAAATCAAATTCTAAAGCTTGGGTTGGGTTTTATTGGAGCCTCAACCATTCGTATTACGCTTTAAGATGTAGGGTTCTTCTACTAGCTAGGTTTATTTTCAACCTAGGGTTGCGTATGAAATAGGTAGTTTGATTATAGATAAGTTCTCTTATTTGATGTACTCCTAGTGTAACTAGAGTATGGAAAATGGGTATAGAAATATGGTAAACCAATCTTGCATGAATTGAGTTTGTAGAAATTACTTGTTTGGTAAATTCATGAAAAATATGAAAATTGGGCATGATTGTGTTACATGATTTTGTGAATTTTGGGTGTTTCATAAAATGCCTATGTTGATGCATGTGTGTTTCATTGAAAATGTTGTAACATGCTTGGTGAGAATATGGATTATAATTATATGCTTTTGATATAATTGATAATTTGGGATTGTGAGGATGTTGGAATGTAATTATATGCTTCATGATATAAGTTACATGAAGGAATTGGAATTGTTCATATTTTGCTCATGACATGTTGAACATGATGTTGTAACTACAATTGAAATCTTGGTTGCATAATGACATGAAATGCAATTGTATATTACATTACATGTGCACGAGAAGCATCACATTCGTAGGCATGATACATGGGTGTGGGTGTGCATCGTTTTGATCAAGCACCATTCTTGGTGGATGATGTGTGGGCTTGGGAAATTTGGACCAAGTTTTGACTGAGTCACACAAGTTGTATTGAAAATAGGGTAGGGGTTAGCAAGAAGGGCTAGATTATCTCTTGGTTGTAAGACCCAATGATTTGGATACACACTCCGTTGGTATTGAGTCCATAATGTGTCGGCGTATGCGGAGCCATTGGTGAAAGTTCATAAATGTCGTGTCGATTGGGTAGCCATTGGTGGAAGTCCATAAATATCCACCCCAAGGAATACCCGAGATTTATAAATGATCATTGGATGTGTAACATCAATGGAAGGAGCTCGAAATGCCCGAATTCATACGCATGGCATTGCATGTGTTATGGGAGCCGGTGAAGACTCTGGTGCGTTGCATGTGTGAGTCTCACCTCATAACATGACATTGCATTATGACATTCATTCCTGAAGTTGTATTTTCTTGGATGAATGCTTGTTTGATTGTTGAATTACATGTGAACTTTTTATATGCATCTAGGTTGGGGAGTAGCCTCTTTAGGAGATACCTTATTGAGCGTGTTTCACCCTTTATGGGGACAACATTTCATGTGCGGGACAAGCGCTGGTGGACGGCTCTCACTAGGGCCCTCGTTGATGAAGAAAGCCGAGTTGTGGCTTTAGATTACATTTTTGTAAAATAATTTTGTAATTTGTTTGTGGACATGTAATATTGTTTAAAGGGTTGCATAATGAACCTTTATGGACCATATTTTGAGAATAATTTGATGTTATATGATCTTGGGTGAGTGTTGTATGAGATTGGATGAGTTGAAATTGAAAAAAGAATTTAATTTGAAGAAAACTAGGCTCATCTATTAGTAGCAAGTCTCGAGCTACCGGTAGCACAATTCTAGAGGACTCGACTACTGGTAGCACCTAAACGAGCTACCGGTAATCTTCCAAAAAAATTTGGCACTATGA